GGTAGGAAGGGACGGAGGAGGTGGGCTGCGTGAAATGTCAGAACAGTGCTTACTCCACTCATTAAAGGTCTCCGTGTTGGAACGACTCTCTTTCTAAAGCTTCACTGACAAACGATCCGAGAGAGAAGTCCGAACCCTAGCACACGGAGTCGTTGTTGTTATTCCATTTTAAACCAACTCCCATGCATGGGCAGCTGGGAGCATCGGGAGCAGGACCCGAGTGAAGACCTTGAGGCCGGACATTTGAGGCCTCAGAGAGAAGGCAGGTTTGAAGGCGCAGTCTTGGAGAGAAGGCATGTTCATTGCCCAGTCCTCCTCAATTTCTTTTGCTGGCCTGTCTTTGTCTACCTGATTTCTAAATGTCAGAATGCCTCAGGGAGCAGCTCTGCACCTTCTCTCCTGGCTATCCTCCTTCTAGGTGATCCGATGGCTTTAAACAACATGTGTGCTCCATTCTCGGTAGTTCTGCTTCTCCAGCCTCTATGAATGACAGACAGACTTCAAAAACTTAACATGTGCCAACAGAAGCGCTTGACACACACCCACCTGTCTTTCTCCCTTCTCCAAGTCCACCAAACCAGATGCCCATTCTTTCTATGACCATATATAACACCTCTGTAGTGACGATGTACGAGAAAACACTCCTGCGGTAAGTAATCATTCATTTCTTAAGTTCGTTCACCAGCTAGCTGCCTTTAATCTGTCATCAAGTGCTGTCTCTTCTATTTCCAAAATGCCATGTGAACCCCTGCACTATTCTCCAAATTCATGATTCCAGTCTGGGCCAAGCCACTGCTGTCTCTTAACTGGACAACTGGACCATTGCAAGAGTCTCCTAACTGGCCTCCCTGCTTTCCTGTGTGCCCTGCCCACTTGCAGTATTTCTCACACAGAGCAGCCAGAGATAAATCATCAAATATAAACTAGATCAAGTCACTGCCCTGGTAGAATCCTCTCTCTGGCTCCCCAGAGCATTCTGAATAAGAATCAAACCCTTCATCATGGCTCCCGGCCACCCCTACATCTTCCTTCATTCCTCCTTTCTATCTCCTCTCGCACTTGGCTCCAGCCACACTGGCATTCTTTCTGTCCCTCCAGCACCCTTCTATTTTTGCCACAAGGCCCAGGCAACTGCAGTGCCCTTCACTGGGCAAGTCTTTCTCCTGGTTTCATTGTCACTGTCCTCAGAAAGGTCTTCTCTTAGCTTCCCATCTCCTGTTCTGTCTCTCCTCTGGGATTCTGGGTAATATGTATCAAATTATCTTCTTTATTTCCCTGAGAGCATTCGCAGCAGCTTCTGACTGCTTTTATATTTTCTGACGTGTATGTTGTCTGCCTCTCCACTAGAAAAATAAGCTCCCTGAGTGCAGGTTACCTCTGGATAGAAGAATACATGGTATGTAGAAGGTCCTCCACAATTCCTTATGGAAACATTGAATAAATGAAATAAATAGCACTTCCTCCCTCAAGGAAGGGACCTCTTTCTCCTCCACTGATGCTCCACAGGGATCTTTATTTTTGCCTCTATCACAGCGCATAGTAGTCAGAACACTTGACTGCAGGTGGTAGAAACTGACCAAAAACTTACTAGAAAAAGGAAGTAGGAACTCCATAGAGGCCCGTGAGGAAAGAGTTTGAGGGCACTCCCCAGTTGCTGTCCTTGTCACTTTAGTAGCCATCCTGTTCCTCTGGCTAACAGGTCAGGACCCTAGAGATCATCTTTGGGTTTGACGATCTGCTGGTCACAGCATGACTCCCCTGAACCTCTTTCTCCTGATGTTTCGCTGGTTTCTGTTGGCTCTGTGGTCTGGAAGAGGACTTGTTGAGTCCTGGTCCTCATCTCAGGCTCCAGTTGGTCTCCTTTGTCATTTCTCTCTCCCTAACAATGAGGCTGAGAAGACCTCTTCAACGCCATGTCCCCTACACCTCAAGCAATCAGGGCTTCCACACTTGGCCTCTGCCTCCTCAGGTCCTTTGTGAACAACCACCTGGAAAAGTTGAGAGCAGCTCATCTGCCCTCTGCCTGCAAGCAACCTAGACACCCATAGGAGAAGAAGCCTAATAGTGGTGATCACTTTGGTCAGGCCTGGGCTATTGCACAGCAAGCTTTTTCTGGGTCTCTGTTCCTTGCCTTTGCTGGCACTAGCCCGACCTCAGGGCAGAGAGCCGGACTTTGTGAGCTGGTGAGGTACATGTCTGTGTGTCTGCTTCTCAGCTGTTTGTCAGGGTGCTTGCCAGCCAGTGACGGAAAGTCTCTCTTTTCATTGCTTACTACCCCACGGTGACTCAGTCACTTCTTCAGGTTCGCTATTGTTCTATCATGAGCTGCTACTACCCAGGCCCAGCCAACAGTGCCACCGTAGAAAACAGCTTTATTTGGCCAAAGAAGGTGGATAATGGGAGGTGGGGGGAGAGAGGAGAGAATATGTTTTGGGCAGGTGTAATTTTATGGCCACCACAGTCCAATCACATTCCACTCACAGGCTTCTGCTCGTATTGCTATTATCTGCTAGGGGCAGCCTGTGCTTCAGCGGAGCGGGCAGTGCTACAATTTGGTCTTTTTTTTTTTTTTTTTTTGAGAAATCATCTCCTCCCCCCACCCCCACCCCCAGGGGAGATGGCCACGCTGCAATCCCTTCTCCATTCTCCTTTCTCCTCCTGGGATCTTGGGCAAGCACGCACATGTGCCCACTGTGGTCAGTCATGTGGGAGTCCAGGACCTTGATGGCCATGCTACCTTCTGACCCACTTGGGTCACTTTTACAGTAAGGTCACGGCAAGTGTGAGACCCCCCCCCCCCTCGCCCATTTATGAAATGAAAGGCGGGACAGAGGAAAGGGTTGGACTCTTTTAGAACTGGTCGCACCCGAATTTCACTTTCTGTTCTTCCAGCACTGTCTTGGTTGAGTGTGTGTGTGTGTGAACATGCACTTATATGTGTTGGTGTTTACCTTGTACTCTTTCCAAAACTGTGATCATACCACTTGCCTCCCTCCTTGAACATGCTGAGGTGTGCTGGGACCTTGGCTATAGTGTTCAAGCACCTTAGCTTGCCCCTCAGAGCCCCATACCTTCCAGCCCCATCTCCAACCACATGCTCATGGACATCATGAACTCCGTCCATGCCACATACACAGGCATGACCAGAAGAGTACTGCGGCTGGGAGGGAGGGGAGTTGGAAGTAAACAGCCCCCAACCCATGCTCTGTCCATACTTCCCTCAAAGTCTGGAGCAGGACCAGATGGTCTGCTCCCAAGGACAAGTTCAAAACCGGTCTATGCTCTCCTGTCTCCTGCCCCCTGTATGCTTGGGAACTGGCACGGGTTCCATAAATGTTTGTGGCAGAGCATTGTGAATGAACACGTGTTCTCTCACAAGTGTTGCACGGGAGGGAAAGGGCTGGAAAAGGGGAAGAGATCTCTGAGAAAGGGGATCAGCACGGAGGCTTGGGAGGTTCAGAATAGGAGTGTATCCTTGGTGGGGTGATGTTAGGGTGTGTGTGGTTTTTAGAGGAGTGGGGGGAACCCTGAATGTGACAAAGCACGTTTTCTTGGCTTTATTTAGGCAGGGCAAGTGAATCCTCAAGACTACCCCACCCTCTTTCGCAAGGTACTTGATTTAATCATTTAAAGTTCCATTGTGGGGTGAGAGGGCATCACATACTCCCCCCACCTCAATTCTAACCTGTATTCCCTCCATCCACCCTGGAGGCCTTTCCATGGCGTCCTCTTCCTAAATATCCAGGCAACCTGACAAGCTGAGCCCTCCCACAGTCACCTCCACCTCCACCCCCACCCTCAGCCACTTGCTCCTGCCAGGCAGCCCCGCTGCCCCGCTGCCCCGCAGCCCCGCCGCCCCGCAGCCAC